TCTGGCCCAAGTGGCCAGTTTTAATCAAATGAAGTCAAATAAATGTGACTGTGAAGATAATGTAGAAAGGATACCAGGCACAGTAGGCAAGAGGAAAGGCCCAGGCCAGAAAAGAGATATTATTTGATGGATTATACTAACATTTGATTTAGGGTCTTGCTTGCAGAAGCTGGATAACAGCCTACATATCCTATGGTAGCTATTGGACTGGAGGAGCCTCCATCTCTGGAGAAGCCCCAGAACTTCTGATGAAGAATGTCTTCCCAGTTACCCCTCATGCACATAGATGCTGAACTCTGGATTTGGCCTGTATCTCATGGTGACTTGTAGACACCTCAGATTTATGGACCTCTCTGTTGTAGCTGGGAGGGATGTACATGGGAACTTAAGAAGTATCAGAATTTAAATGCAATTCAGTGCCTTCAGTTGTAGCTGCTTGTCACAGGGCACTAAGGTGCCTGCTCCTAGAAGAGCAGAAACTGCCTGGGGAGAGCCTAAAGAGATAGACAGAAACCCAGGTGCTGGTTATTAGGGCAACAGGCTAGCGAGCAAATTAGCCTGCACCTGGTCAGCTGACCAGAAGAGGCAGGGCCCTGGGCACATATAAACCCCAGGCTGGAACTAGGGAAGTCAGTTCTCTGCTAGTGGCCAAAGGGGAAGGGAGCCCTCCTAGAGGAAGTGAAAGGAAGAGTGTCTGACTGTAAGTTCTGCTCCTGGTAATGTTAAGGGGCAGAGCACAGCTTGAATTATGGTATAGCCAAGGGGCTTGCATTTTTTTACTTTTGTTTATAACACCGGTGGTTTGGGCTGAGGCTATTGGGGAAGGAGGAGGCCTCATTAAGGGAGCCCACTGCAGTATGGGGACCCCGGTGCCAGAGAGGGTGCAGAGTTCGGGGGTGAACAGATCCTGGTTCCAGAGAGGGCGCAGAGTTTGGTGGTGAACAGACCCTGGCACCAGTGTGGGCGCAGAGACTGAGACAGGGCCGTGGAGAGCCCAGTGCCAGGGTGGGCGCAGAGCGAGACAGGGCCGTGGAGAGCCCAGCACCAGAGTGGGTGCAGAGCGAGACAGGGCTGCGGAGAGCCCAGCACCAGGGTGGGCGCAGGGTGAGATGGGGCTGCGGAGAGTCCTGTGATGACCTGAGGGCTGAGTGAAACCAAGGCCTCGGAGGGACGCTGTGTCAATACCATTTACGAGGCTTGAGGCACGGCAAAGGGGTGGTTTGGAGCCACGCATATAACTCATAAGGCTGGAGGTGCCCCGAGACATCTGTTTTAAAATGGGACCCACAAGGGGTCTGGGAACCCACGAGGTTCCATGGGGTCTGTCAGGGCCATGTCCAGCTAGACTTGGAGGCAGCCTCCCTATTTATTATAATTACATCAAGACATGGTGGGCGAGAATGAGGGTGCCCATTGAGCCAAATTGGCACAGTCAAGGGGCCCTAGGGGTTCCACGGACATCCCTGGGGACCCCATCCTGTGACACTGCTACTGCCTGCTTACTACTGCATTAAAGGTTTTGATTCTAGAAAGCTTGCCCAAGATATCATGGGGCACACACTGTGCCAATTTTCCATATGGCACATGATGACAAAGGTGGGATTTGGCACATGTTCCAGGTGGATGTTGCCAGACTCTTATCTGGGGAGAGATCACCTAAAGAGGGGAGGAGTAAAGTGGAATGCTGGGTGGTAACTTTCCCACCAGACAAAATATTGCATGTAAAGCTAATGAGGAAAGAAGCCAAGGTAATATGTTTTATGAATCTGTAATCATGAAACTGGTTTCTGTATAGATATTTTTGTTTTTTCACAAAAATGCTATTTTCCTCTTAGTAAATAAAACATAAATATATCAATAGATGTATGAAAACTATGGAGCAGGAACAGAAAACTTTTTCAAGGCTCTCATTAGTTTTAATTACTTCCCTCTCTCATGGTAGGTTGGCATGTTTTTCACCCCTTTCTCCTTTGCAAGTATGTAGCAGTTCTCATTATCCAAGGATAACAAATTTTACAAATATGCATTTTTTCTTTTTGTTTGGCTTTACAGTATCTCTTCCTTCTTTTGTCCAGTCATTTACAGATATTGAGTCCATTGCTTCTTTTTTGTTGCACCCAGGTGCCTCTGACTTCCCTCATTGTTGAGGGGTATCACTGGTATTGACACATCCAGTCCAATAGTCAGAGCTTCCTTAAGCATGATTAGTTGCAAGTAATGATATGGAGTTTGTCTTACAGGACTGAAAGCTTTACTAAAGCAGAAAACATATTGCTATTAGCTGAAGATAATGATTTGGTTCTTGGATTTAAGTAATTAATATTAAAAATGCTTATTTTAT